CGACCCCTTGTGCCGGAGGGCTGGAGACTGGGGCTTCCAGCCAAGGCTCCATCCGGGCCCAGGGCTGACGGGGCCACCCCGTGGGGTCCTGCCCCTCCCGCAGCCGCCCCCGCTCCCGTCTCTCCCGCTGCCGGAATGGCGCCCGCGGGAGCTCGGAGGCGCTGCCGGGCAGGGACACTCTGGGCCAGGTTCCAGAGCAGCAGTTTGCAGGGGGGATTTCACGCCCAATGCCAGTGTCCGCCCCAGGCAGCTTCTCTTGCCCTCTCAGACGCGTTCACACATGTTTCGTGTCCCCAGAGGAGTTTTTCCCTTCTTTTGGGTCTGAGCAGAGCACCCTTGGGACAAAACCTTCCTCAGCGCGTTGCGGCGAGCTGTGGAGCTCAGCGCGGCTGTGCAGCGGTGCTGCGACGTGACCAACGGCTGCCTGGCCCTTTGCCTCAGCACCTCCGTGTGCCCAACGCGCTGGCAGTCCGGGCACGTCCCACGACAGAAGCGCCTTGGGCACCTGAGGCAGATCTGGCTTCTGGCTGCTCCTTCCTTAAGGCCGCGGGGACCCAGTGGTGACAGCTCCATCACAGCTGCGTGCGCCCTGCACTCTGCAGACCCGCATTTATCCTGCAAAGGGAAAACCCGCCAGGCCGCCAAGCCGAATCGAGAGCCCCGTTTTATTTACCCAGCACAGAACACATCACGGGAGTGTTGAAATCCTGGCAGAGAACACAGGCATGAAGTACATTCCCCTGCCTTGAACCACCGCGGCAAAACTGGCATGGGCAGGACGCAGGCGGCCTCCTCCGAGCCGGCAAGGCTGCTCCATCCACCCCTGCAATAGCTGTGGGGTCCCTGTCCATCGGGGTCCTTGTCCTCGGGATCACTGCTCACCGGCGTGCACGGCGGTGAGCTCAGCCCTCCCCGCACGTCTCGAAATACTGGCACATGAGCTCGCGCACCTGCTCGGCCCGGCCGTCCTCCATGGCGGCGGGCGCGGGCTGGCATGGCTTGGGCAGCTCGCTGGGCCCCGTGCCCTCCCAGCCACTCCTCGTTGAAGGGGTTGTCGTGAGCCTCGCACACGTTGTGCAGGATGCAGCAGGCCAGCACGAGGGTGGGCAGCAGCTCCAGGCTGCAGTCGTCGCACTTGAGCAGGATCTGCCAGCGAGCCTTGAGGCGCAGGAAGGCGTTCTCGATCACGCTGTGCGCCCGCTTGAGGCGGTAATTGAACTGCAGCTGCCGCTGCGTGAGGTTGTCGTCCTCCTGGTAGGGCTTGAGGATCCAGTCCTGCAAGGGGTAGGTGGCATCACCCAGCAGCACGTACTTCTGGGCCTTCCCCATGAAGGGTTTGGGCGGGTTGGGGCACAGCCGGCCCTCCTTGGCCAGCACCCACAGGCTGGAGCTCTCCAGCACGGCGCTGTTCTCCATGCTGCCGGGGAAGGCGGTGGAGACGTCCCAGAACTGCCCCAGGCCGTCCACGGCGGCCTGCGTGAGCATGGAGTGCCAGCCCTGGCCGTTGCAGTAGTCGGCGCCGAGGCGCAGCGGCGGGTGGATGGGGATGTG